AGAAAACCCGCCGTTTATCCCCGCTTCGGAAAAGGGCGGCGGGAACTGAGGGAAGCCATCTGCGAGCAGCCCCGAGGAGGAAGAAAACGCCGCTGCAATGTCCCTTCGCCCAGGATGGCAACGGATTCCCGACTTACCGATTTATCTTAAGTGCCGCGGTAACAAAACCTTGGCGGCACGGAAGGAAAGAGAGAGAGGAGCCGGAAACGGCAAGGGTTGATGGGACGCTCGGGGGAGGGAAGTCCTGGAAGGTCGAATGAAAGCCTTTCGAGTCGGATGAAGAGCCACAGAAAGCTGTGCCTTCTAGCCGGTCAATCTTGTTGAAGGACGATCCAATGAAAATGCGTTTATTTAAATTGTATTGATTTTCATTGAATTCTACTTAAATAAAATCCACGTTTCAACTCAATGAGCAAGGACCTGTGTACGTCACTTTCCGCCAGCAGGGGCAAATTGTAGACGAGGAAGTAAGAAAGGGTAGAGAGAACTTGCTGTTCAATTGAGAACTCCTTATAGATTTAAATCGCGGACCCCGGACAGGGCAGCGGTGGAGTCTAGGTCAGGGGTCTCCAACCTTGGCAACTTTCAGACTTGTGGAATTCAACTCCCAGAATTCCCCAGCCAGAGGTGTCTGTTTCTTTTTCTCTTACCCCTTCAAAGTGGAGAGGAAGGGATTTCAAGAGAGTAAGCTGTGCTGGCTAGGGAATTCTGGGAGTTGAAGTCCACAAGTCTTAAAGTTACCAAGGTTGGAGACCCCTGGACTAGAAACAAAGCGCGCGCACCCGCAAACTCTTGTAACCCGCAATTTCTCGATTCCTTTTACAAATTTTTGCGTTTACATTAATTATACATTTTAATTCAATGTAATATTTATTTATTTATTAATTATTATTATTTTTTAAAAAAATCTGCCATCTGATTTCTGATCTTAATATCTATGGGGCAGGAGAAAATGAATGGATGACCATACTATGAATTCCTGAATTACGATTATCCAGGTCCTCCTTTGTCTGTTCAGCTATTGGGTCACCCTAGACAACAACAGATAGAGATCTGTGAATAACATCACTTCTTTCGCTTAAAGTAGAAAAGATTTAGGAGACCCCGGTTATGAGAGTACTTTATATCGGACATGAACACAATTGAGCGGGTTCGGGGGTATTTCTCAAGAAAAGTACTCCACTCCTCCACTCACAATTGAATCCCTTATGCCTCCAGGCTCGAAATTCTCGGCCTGGACAATTCAGAACTGCGCCGCCTGTAGTCCGATCTAAGCATAGTTCACACCTATACTTGTTATTTTGTGCATGTTTGACAAACAAATAAAAAAGTAAAAAAAGATTAAGTGAAAATATGGCTCAAGATTAAATATTAAGAAGACAAATTTGTCAGTCTGCATGCTGAATGATTTTACAGTTGGTGGCAAACAGGCTTGAGGGAAGATGAAAGGCAGCAGATGGGGGGCTGGGGGTGGATATAGGACCTTCCAAGAGATTATTGGAATGTTCATAGAACAAATTATTACTAGTAAATGGTCAAGGTGATGCTTGCTTGTGCAATTTTCAGAAGCCAATAATGTGATTAAAATTCTGCATTCTCCCTCCCCACTTTTCAAAGGAAATCTCTAATTTCTAATGGAAAGAGGAAAAAACTATAGAACTTCAACTATAGAGCTGGATCCCTCTATAAATTAACTCTTATCTGCAGCTAGGCACCAAATTGAAAATTTTAGAGATTTTGCAGGTAAGTTTCAGTATGAAAGCCCCAAATTGTCATTTTATACCTGATGTGCAAAGGGAATTTTGTGTGGATGCTTGGGTTGGTTGTGCTACTGACATGAACCATTACGATGAGTGACGTAAACATTCCTGTCAAATATACACAGCCTAAATTACATGTAACTGATCTTGCTATGTGATATAAAATATTCCTTTCTGAAAAAGTTGAGATTCAGATATAAGATTTTGGTTTTCACTTAATGATTATGTCTCGTGAATATTACAGTAGCAATTCCTAGTGATCCTACTTGATCTGGAAGAAGGTAAGCATCATCAGATCTGCTTAATAATTGAATGAAAACCCAATATCTCATTGGAAAGTTGAAAAAATCTCATGGAAGAAGATGAAGACTTTTGTATTGTCACCAAGAAAACTACAGGGATGTATCCATACAGCTAGCAGAAGCTGAGCTTTATTCAAGGGAGGGAGTGTAAAAAAAATATTTTGTTTGTGGCTACTATTAAATAGAAAGGCACCATTTATAAACCACATCCCTAAGATGATAACTGGATTCACACATACACAAAAGAATAATGCATTTTAGTATATTAATCTAATTGTGTTTTTAAAGTACTGTATGATGTATGGCCTGTGCCTAGAATATTGTAGAAGCCTAATTGGTTCATTAAACAAACTGCAGCCAGTTGTAGTTAATGAACCAGTTAGGTAAATTAGGGCTCAGTGTACTATATAAAATAAATGAAGATACCATTTCCCATGCTAGTTGCATATTCAAAACTTGAATAACATAAAATGTACCATTCATAACTAATATAGCTCTATTATACACATGGATCCACTTGACCAGGGGTCCTCAACCACCGGGCCGCGGACTGGTCCCGGTCCGTGGAGCACTCTGTACCGGGCCGCAAAGAAAATAAAATAAAATAAAATTGGTGGCTTTCTTCGCTTTCGGTGAATGTTGCTGGGATCGGGGATCAAGGACACAAATGAGAGAAGGGGAGGGAGGAAGCAACCAAAGCCTGTCCTGCTCTCTGGCTCAGCGGCTTCGGTTTCCTCCCGCCTCATTCCTCTCTCAGTCGCTCTCTCGCTGCTCCACCAGCCCAGGAAGAAACTGCTTCAAAGAAGCCGGGGGGTGGGGGTGGCTTTTCCTGTCGCCGCAGCGCCTCCGAAGCGCCCGTTCACCCCCACCCCGCCTGCCCGCACGCGGTTCAATTCAGTGCTCCGTTCTGCCTGCCTGCCTGTTTGGTTGTTTGGGAGCAGCTTCGGCTGAGAATAATAACTATTCGCCTCTTTTTATCAGCCGAAGCTGCTCCGAAACGAAGAAGGCAGGCAGGCAGAACAGAGCACTGTGGATTGAACCGCGGGCGGGCGGGCGGGGTGGGGGTGGGGGTAAACGGGCGCTTCGGAGGAGCTGCGGCGACAGGAAAAGCCACCCCCCCCCCGGCTTCTTTGAAGCAGTTTCCTCCTGGGCTGGTGGAGCAGCGAGAGAGCGACTGAGAGAGGAACGAGGCAGACACCTGAGGGAGGGAGGGAGACACCTGAGGGATGGGGCTGAGGGAGGCAGGGCCGAGGCGCTCCCTGAACTTGGTGGTTTGCTGGCAGACGTTTTATTACCCGACTAGGTAACAACATCAGATGTTACCTAGTCAGGTAATGAAACGTCTGCAAGCAAACCACCAAACTCGGATTCTTCCCCCCTCCCTCCTTGAACAAGTGTTTGTGCTTGAAACTGGTCCCTGGTACAAAAAAGGTTGGGGACCACTGCACTTGACGTATACAAATGTAGCTTGAGCTAGTGACCAAGCCATGAACAACTCATGGGTTTGACCTGCTAATTTATGAAGATCCAATGATAGGGTTAAATAGCTAACTGAAATCCTTGAAAGCAGCAGATTCAATTCTTCTGTTCAAAGGATGTGTGTTTTCTGCTGTGGAAAAAAAGCCATGGTAACCACTAACATTAGCCACATTTTATACTACTGCTCTTTTACACATTCTATTCTGCCCTTTTATGCCTCCACTGACAGCTTCAGTTCAAATTAGGTAGTATACTATCATTGTCTGGATATTAATGTTCTAATTGCTCCATAAATTTATGTTTCGTTCCAAACATCCAATTGGGAGATTTTGCAAACATACAACAGAAATGAATGAATGATGAATGAATTCTTTATTGGCTAAGTGTGATTAAACTCACAAGGAATTTGTCTTAGTGCATATGCTCTCAGTGTACATAAAAAGAAGATACATCATCAAGAATCATAAGGTACAACACTTGATATAGTCATAGGATAAAAAATAGGCAATCAAATCATACTAGGAAACAGTCAATAGAAATCTTAAGGATACAAATGTCAGCCTCACCCTTATTTGGATCACCCCTTCCCCCTCAAATCAGGGGGTTGTTAGCAGTGGTGGGATTTTTTTTTTACTACTGGTTCTGTGGGCATGACTAGGTAGGCATGGCCAGATGGTCATGTGACTGGGTGGGCGTGGCTAGGTGAGGTTTTTTTTCCTCCTGCAGCACCCTCCCCATGCTGATTTTTGCCTACTGGGCCTCAGGAAAGCCTCCCCGGGTACTGAAAAAAGCAGCATTTTGAAGGTAAGTATAACAGCAAGGGGTGGGGGATCAGCTGTGCTGCACGATTTAGATTAGCTAGAAAGCAAGAAATCTGATGATTTCCTGCTTTCTAGCTAATCTAAATCACACGGCACAGCTGATCATTGGAAATACTGGTTCGGAAATACCAAACAGGTAGCATTTTTTTTTACTATCAAATTTTTTTACTTCCAGCATTATCCTGCTGGCATGACCATTAAATTAAATATTTCCAAGTTTGGCTGCAGAAGTCAAGCCAGGCTTATTGAGGTTTCCCTGTCCAGCAAGAATGGGGCTATTGAAACAATAAAGCCTTGCTAGTGGTCGCCTAATATAAGGGCTCAAAGAATATCAGACACTTCCTAAATGCAATTTTGTAATCCTCCAAATGGTAGCTTGAGAAAACCCTTTATACTGCAGAGGATTTCCATTTCTACAGTGCAGTATATTGTATGTAGATACTACAGGACGAGATAAAAACTGACCATCTTCCATCTCCACCAGAAAAGGTTATGATGGGAGGTGTTCATTTTAGGAAAAGAATAAATGGAGGACAGTATATGACATAGGTTGATAAAACTATCTGCAGTGTAGGAAGATTATAAAGAAGGGAATTTCCTCCTTCTTGTGAAGGGGGAAACCAGGGCAGCTTAGAGTCTGTTTGACTGTCAAAGCTAATGGGCACCGTAATCTCATTTTAGAACGCTACCAATTTCCCATCCGTTGAAAAAATTGCATATTTCCTGTTTTGTGTACCTCTCTCTGTTTCTAAGGAGGGAATAGAAGCAAACCTGTTTCCCAAAAAACCCAGACATCCAAACCTTTCATTGAAAATCAGTAGCATGGTCATTCACACAACACACTTAAACTATATACAAATTGATTGTTTGAAAGCCCCTTTCACTAAGCCATAATTTTGTCATATTGTGTATATATAGGACTATGACCCTCTATTAGTCCAATGGAGCAGCTTTCTTGGTCAAGTTCTTCAGAAAGGCCATCAAATGTAATAGTTATGTTTGCGAGTTTCTGGATCCCCTAAGGTCATGTACCCCTTGTTGTTGACTGGCCAGTTGCGACGTGGAACGTTAATACCAGGATTGACCGGGCGTGTGTGAGAGACACAACTGAACAGAACTTCACTTCTATCCTCTCTTGGTTCAAGTAGATACAAGTGCAGCTTATCAAGGAGATGCCCCGGCCAGAAATTATTAGGGTTGGTCAAGGGATTCAGGTAGTAATACATTCTCCTCAGTTCTCTGCAAGCAAATAATATAATCATGAAACAATATACCGAAAAAATAAGGTGGAGATTTAATAAACTGAAAATTTGTCATTTTGCCAAAAACCAAAAGAAAAATCTAGGGTTTGAACATAAGCTGCGATGTGTCTTTGATTCCAAATTTGCCAGAATGCCACTATGCAGTGCAAGCAGTGGTTTAGGTTTAATATGCTGTGTCAATGCAATTAATATGAAATTCCTATAGTTGCACAAATAAAAAAATAAAGGGAAACTGACAATTTAACTTACATTTGTCACCTTAATGAGAATAAATCCTAATTCAAAATAAAAATAAAGTGCTGTAACTTAAACCTTAGGTGCAAACTAAAAGGCTTGGGCCCAGCTAATCTGCAACACTGCCTCCTGCTGGAACTCACTTGCATCTGCATTTATTATGTATCCTGAGAAATTTGATGGCTAAAGCAGAAACTGCTCGAAACTGACTTGAAAAAATAAGCACATTTTAAAGCCAGCTACATTTTAATTTAAAAATATAAACTAAGAAAATGTAAAAAATATTTTCCTTTTATGAACTGTAAGTAACAGTAGGCAATTCTTTGCATGTATGGATTGATTAGGACAGGGACTCAACTTCTACCAGTAGTAAAATAAACAGATTTACATTTGTTTTTACTATCGTACTATTATTTGGGTGCTACATTTGAATATTTTAAAATTATTTTTGATGTGCATGATTCTAAATAATCATATTTAAATAAATTTCCCCAAATCAGCTTTATCTAGAGGTATACACATCATTTTCCAGAATTCTCCTGCTGGCATGACCATTACTAAAAATTCTGGGAATTCAAAGGCGTCTAGGTTGAGAAAATGTAGGTTAAATACATCAGACTTAATTACTGTCTGTATGCCGTTAAAATATATTGAAAAAAATCCTTTTACCTCTTTCAAGCTCTAGAACTCAGAAATGTTTGTCAGTTGAATCTGACATCTTTGCAGCTTTGTAGCTGATTTATAGATACAGTTTTAAAGATGAGCTGAAACTAATTAAGTTTGGGAGCTTATGAAGATATTAGACAAAAAAGATAAATGTATCAATGGCCAGTAGTTCTGAAAAAATGAATGGGGCCTTTTCTGTGTATTTGGGGGTGGTTTAAGAGCAAAGAGAGGGGAAATTAGCTTTTTTGAATGTTCGTGGATTTGAAATGGTACTATAATTGCCCCGTGACACTAAAGTCAGCTACTCTGCCCCTTAAAATCCACTCTAAATGCTGCAACGCAGGCGGGAGGAAACAAGTCTAGGATTTCTGCTGCAACTGTCAAAGTATTTCAGGGTGTGCAAGCCGGCATTATATACTTGACTTTTAGCATTGCCCGCTATGGTTTATGTGATATTAAAAAACAAAACATAATGCTGAAGTCCTCAGGCTCATAATCTTTTGTTTAAAATATTATTTAAAAAGAGAAGGGGGTTGAAAGAAGGAAGCTTAGAAAAAGAAACTGGGGCAGGGGGGGAGGAAGAAAGAATTAATAAAAATTATGAACGAAGAACAGGAAGAAAGCGAATTATCAGGTGAACAAGGAGAATCAAGAATTTCTAACAATCCCTACGCCAACTTCTAGATGTAGATCTTTAATGCTGAGCTCAATGAAAGAAATGTAAAGCCATACCTTTCCATGTATTTTTTTGTAAACTCATCTAGACCCTCAGGCAAATTCTCATCAAGAAATTTCTCATTCCAAATATCCGATGGGGGATATATTCTTTTGGAGTGTTTACTGCAAAGCGTAAAGAATTTCAATTTAGAATCAAACAGTATTAAAAAAAAAAA